CTTTGAGTACAGAGGATTCTATTTCTCCTTTCCTCTCACTCTGTCATCTGGATGCATACAAGTCCCAAGTATGGTAGGAATATTTTCATTTCAGAGTTATTTTATGAAATCCCAGAAGAGGCAGGAGGCCATGTTTTAAGACTAATATAGATTTTTTTTTTAATGTGGTAGATTTTTTTGACTTTGCTGTGTGTATCTCCCCAGCATTTTTTCTCTCCAGGGATTCATTCCAAGCCCTGACTTTCAAGTGCAACCCATATGACATTCACCTCTACCACCTACTTCCCCCGTAATGTACTGATAATGCTACTCTCTCTTTTAAGAAGGGAAGTTTCCTTTTCCTTAAAAACTCTGGATCTTTTTTTGGTTTCTCATTCTGCTCTTTCTGTATCACCAACTAAAATAGATTCCTACAGCCACTCTTGCAGTATCCACATTCTCTTGGAGTTGTCATGGAGACACTAATGTGCCAAGTCTCTCTCCAGAGGTGGCCCACCCTAGAGTCAAGCAAAGAATCACTAAAGCAAGTATAAAATAAAGAGATGAGCACAGTATACAAGCTCCTCATCCCTGAGCATGTGGGCACATGGAGGGAAAAGTCATGAGATATCTAGGAAAGGCTCAAACAAAACCTTCCTTTGGGACAGTTGTACCCCAACTCATGCCTTTGGGTTGATTTTACTCTAAACTTTGATTTTTTTTCTTACTATGATAATGTTAATCTTCATTTATTGATCTGGAAATGTAATCACCACATATCTTTCCATAAAAAACTTTCACATACAAAAATGTACATCATGCATAAAACTTGAATTTTGATATAAATAAAACTTTGATTTTTGTAGCTACAAAAAGACCTGCTAAATCTCCAACTTATATCTTTTGAACATCTTATAATCCATCCTTTAGGGTTATCCAGTGCTATTTTCTCTTCCTTTCCTAATAAAATCAGGGATTTCACTCTCTATAAACATAGATTTGTTGTGTGCCATCCTTCAAGACAGCATAAGTGAGTCTGAGTCTAAAAACATAACCTTCTAAGTTTAACATCCCTGTCACTCTTCCTTCCACATGCACCTAACCTCCAATCTCTAGCTCACTGAAGATAGCAGATAGATCTGTCAGTCAAGCTTGCTAGAATATGACACACTTGGAGATTTCTTAATGAACAGCTGAAGTATAAAAGTAGTTTTGCTTTAGTTATGATACAGATTGCTGGTAGATTCCCTTGTATGTCTCTGGCCTTCAGGAGACAAGCTATGTTAAACCTCTAGGTAAATGGCTCCATGGTAGGTGGTGATTCTCCTCTGGCCAGACGATGCTCAGTTATGTGGGCAGAGGTCTCTGCAGCATTAGCATCTCCCTTTGTGTTCCTCCTGCTTACTGTAGATCTCGGTTGAAGTTCAGAGATGCTATCCTGCTCTTTTGAATTCAATTACAAATGATAAAATTTATGAAAATTCAATCATTTTTGGATGTGATGGATCTTGTATTTTTAGTATTCTAGACCAGAAGAATTCTTCTCCTGTCCTTTCTAATTCCTTGGTGGTTCCATATTCAGTGATGAGAAACAGACAAATGGAGTTTGGACAACCCTTCTGGGCAGTCTTCTCCTTCCTTTTGTCCTCTCTCACCCACAAGATTTCATGCCTATTTGTGTGGGAAACCAAACAGATGGGCCGGGGAGATAGCTCAGTAGAATAAGCGTTTCCATGGCAAACAGGATCCTGAGTTCAATTCCTGGTACTGAAAAAAAAAAAAAAAAAAAAAAAAACAGATAAGGTAGCACCTATCACCACCAGCATAAATACTTTTATCATCTTGAAGCAGGATGACCATCTAAACATGGTTACACTAAGACATTTGAGCTGGATGGACAGCGGTTGGTGGCATTAATGTGACAGCTTGAGTTATCTCCAGCTGCAAAAAAACAAACTCCTAGATAAAATATGAAACACACTTTCTTTAAACTGTTGATACAAAATAGTTAGAATTCTTGGAATTCACTGAAATTCAAGTAATGATTGATTACTATGAGTAAAAATATTTTATAGAACAGTGTGAACTCATCTATGGTATTTAAAGTTCATTCCTGGAAAAATCCATTTAGTTCTATACAACTAAGCTCAAGTACATTATTTTTAAACATTTCTATATATAAACCCAAAAGAAATATTCCATTAACAAAAGTAGCAGCATTTAAACTAAAATATATCAAGACCTAAGAAACTCCAAGATTACTCTGCCCCGAATTTTATCAAAAAGGTCCTCAAAACACACCAGTAAATAAACCCAAGCTATTATTTGGGAAAGGAAAATTCTTCATTGAAAGGATTTTGTTTTTCTACCCTATTAACATTTTTAAAAAATTAAAATTATTGAAAAATAGAATTGACCCTTTTAAAGAATGCAATAAATGTCACCAGCTATCTGAACAATATACAGCATTCTTAGGAAAAAAATGTCCCTATAATTCAAAACTTTCTCTAATAAGCCTGTCAAAGCAGTCTACAAGTGAAAAAATGTCATTAAAAGGTCATTTTCAAAATTTTGAACTATCAACATATGGAAGTACTAGTTGAAATCATGTTTTAGATTTTTCTCATCGGTACCTCATTTCTAAACTTTAAATTTTTATAAATGCTTTAATTTTTTTTAAAAAATGATTATTTTAAGAATAGTAATAAAACAACTTTTTAAAACCTAATGAGATCCTTAAAACAATGTAGCCACTCTTGTCCTGAGGCCATGTGTCGAATCTGGTAAACGTGGGCTTGAGTTTTTATAGTTCTGGGAGTGCAGGAAAGAAACTGTAACGTTCAGGGCAAAGCCAAGAAGCGCCCTGAGGAAGCCTCCTCTGCACACAGCGGAATCCCCAAGAGCCACGATGGCCAGCTAGAAGTAAGTGCCACAGCAGCAGCTCGACGCATGCGAGAAAAGCCGTAAGGATTCTCAAGCTGAAGGGATGCGAAGAGGACCTGAAAGGAATAGGTACCAAAGATGCGAACCACCAGGAGATAGGCACGCGTATATGTGAGCCTCGGGCTTAGTCTGGGAAGGGCCTACTTGCCCAGAAGCTGCATGTGTGGATATGCTCTGGGGGAATCTGCCTCATCCTACGACTCAAAGAGGCCTCACAAACGAAATTCAAAGGAAAATAAACAACCTACAGGCAAGAATAAGTACCACACAAAGATAATGAAACTCCACAGTCATGAAAAAGATCCACAGAGATTTCAACTAAGAGTTACCACATAGACTAGAAAATGAGTGTGCTTAATATATTTAAAGATAAACAAATATAAGCTTGAAAATATATGTAGGAAATAAGAAGCTATAAGGATTGACAAAGCTCATTTTGAAAATGAGTGTAACGTCTAGTAATAAAAAAATAGTCATTGGCTTTTGAAACACAGTGGGTGGGTTTATTAACAGTTAGATCCAGACAAAGACAGAACTGATGAATCAAACATGGCATTTGAACAAGGACATTTTATTCCCAATCCAGACTAGGAAGACTTTCAAAGAAATTGTTCAGCCTCCGACACTCATCATAGTTTCTACTCCTTGTTCCCCTGTGAGTTCATCAAGTATTTACTGATCCCCTGCAGGCTACTAGACACCTTGCTTGGCCACAGGTTCCAAAGCTGAAGAAGGCATAGTTCCTGTGCTTGATTAAAGAGGAACGATCTGTAGGCCAGCATGGGACCGAGAGCCAGGAGCCACCGTGGGCAAAAGCTGCCTGGCTAGCACACTGCTCTTTGGACTAAATTCTAATAGTCCTGCAAACACATTTACTGACCAAAGGCAGAAGCAGTGTGCTTTTTAAAACTGTACCTCAGATTAAGTAGTGATAGAAGGAGAGTGAATTAGCTATTTTTATTTTTCACTTTTATTCATATATGTTTGTAGCACATAATGATCACATTCACTCCAGGAAATCAGTACATGTGCATAACACACCTCAATTGCCTCCATTTTTTCCACCCTCTCCACCCCTCTTTTATTTTTTCAGCATCATATTTATTTACTTATCCAGATAGATCTTATAAAGTCAATTATCACATACTGTACAGAGATTGGAAACTACGTTACTAGGCCAAAGAACATATAAAACATGTAAGACAATTGCACTAAGTCATGGTACACTGTTATATACATTGTCTGCTCTGGGTTACAATAGCTTTTTTCTCTTTTTCTTTATTAATCAGAGTTATTTTCTTTTTCTTTTATTTTTCTTTTCATGTATTTAGGCCAGGGTCTACAGGGTCTCACTATGTAGATCGGACTCTGAGTGATGCTCCTGTTTTCAGCCTCCCAAGCACTGGGATTACTGGATTCAGAGTTATTTTCAAGTAGATTAAGTTACACCAATTACATGTGAGTTAGAGCCACCCATTTGAGAGGATGGATAGCCTTCTCTGAAAGTGTATTCAGTGAATACACCACATTCAGCAGTATTCTGGGAGCATTTCACTCCTAGGCAGAAATGACTTCAGTGATTTTTTTTCTTCTATTCTTATGGCTACTCTAATAAATACAAGTCATTTCTGCCTCATGCTTTCTCTTCAGAAACAAATATCCTCATATTCTAGTTCACTGTATTCTGAGATTTCTTAAACAATTCCCTCTATTCTTCTTTTTTACTGTGTGTGTGTGTGTGTGTGTGTGTGTGTGTGTGTGTATGTTTTAATCTTTGTATTTGGTACAGGATCTTGCTACGCAACTCAGACACATAGTGATCCTCCTGTTTCAGCCTCCCCAGCCCTGGGATTACAGGTGTGCCCCACCATGCCCGGTCTTGGTGGCCAGCTCGGCACATCTAGGGCCTGGCCAGCATGGCATGCAGTCCCAGAGATGGAACCCGGGTCCTTGCACCTGCCTAAGCTGGCACTTAGACCGCTGAGCTATCTCCTTTCCCATTCTTCTGTATGCCATTCTCAATCTTCAGATACTGTGGTTTGTTTCTTTGTGTATGTGTTTGGTTTTGGTTTTTGCAGACTGCTGCCAAGCTAAAGACCAGTATATTGAACAGTTCAAAGATACTCTGAACACTTCTGTGGCCTCATCAATTGCTGGATTTTTTGCAGAGCCAATTCAAGTAGGTATATGAATGTTAGACATTAATTGAACTCAGTTCTTACATGAAAAGAGAGCTTTAACTCATAAATTTTAGAGAATTCCAAAACAAGTGTGCATCGTTATGTCATTTCCCAGATTTAATTCATTTTCTTGGCTCCCTTAAAAAAATAAAGTCCTGATCTTAAGCTGACCTCTATTTTCACAAATAGGTTAAGTTCTCAGGACAAGGAAATCCCCATGATGTGTAGTTGCTTAACACTTGAAACATCAGGGGAATCTTCCTTAAATCTCAGCAATTCTCTTCTTCCACTTTTTCCTAATCTCATAAAATAACAATCATCCATTTTCCAGAAGGCCTAGTTGGAAAAGTGCTAGAGATTATTCATAAAATCATTATCATTTCTGTTATGATAATGACCTGCCTTCTTTTTTTTAATGCTGTGAAAGGGCTTGTGCTGATGTTATAAGTCTTCTTGGTTTTGTCTTTTGCAGGGTGTGAATGGTGTTGTCCAGTACCCAAAAGGGTTTCTAAAGGAAGCCTTTGAGTTAGTGCGAGAGAGAGGAGGCGTATGTATTGCAGATGAAGTGAGTAGCAATTGAAAGGTGCGAGTAAGTGTGGTGGGATGAGGATGGGCACAGAGAAAACCCTCTTTATATACTCTGTGATAGTTGAGGGAGACAGCAAGTGCTGTCTGAAGTGTGCCATAATTTAAGGCAGCCTCTGCGAGCTGACCAATCGGTTCATTAGATTAGTTGGTCAGTTTAAACAGTACAACGTAACCTAAACATCCAATTGATGTCTATCAAATAAGTTGCTAACAGGTGTCAGTGATGCTACCATTACTCAATGTGTGTGTGTGCATGTGTGTGCACTTGTGTGTGTATGTGTGCACATGTGTGTGTGCACGTGCGTGCATGTGCACCCACACACACCCATACACATGTGCACATTTTTGGTGTTTCTAGCAGAAGCATGGGCAAACCATCTAGAAAAATGAACTTCATAGCCAAGCATTGTCTTAATTTGCCAAAATAACATTAGCCAATCTGACAGTAGTTATCTTTCTGACCCTGTTTGCCTGGAAATTAAATTTTAAAAATAATAATAACCCAGCCACTAAATTAGATACATGTACCATCATTGATATTTGGAAAATAGTTCCCTCCCCAATTAAAATCATGATATTGAGTTGATAAACATACATTACTCCCCGGGGAAGTACTTTGAAGAGAATAACACCCATGGCTGTGTAAGTAATAGTCTATGTGTTAAAAATATTCCATTTACTTATTATACTTCACATTGAAGTGTATCAAAGAATATAGGATTGCTCTGTGACTTAGTCTTAAACAACCCTATCCCAAAATGGAGCAAGATTAAACACTGTCTGGCCATAAAAATAAACAGGCTTTTATATTTTGACAGTAACTACGAAGATTAAAAGACCAGAGGAGGATCACTAGTGTCACAGAAGTACAGAATTTATAAGTTTCATCCCTGTTCCAGCCCTACTGTCTTGGCCTAAACAATTTTCCTCACTTAAAAACTCCCTACAGCTAATACTGGTTGAGCTGGCCACATGACAGAAACTTTGCCATTGGCACTAATTCATATGCAGCCAGGTCCCTTGGGCCATGATTCACTGAAGTCCCCAGGGCACTGACACAGCTTGGCCCAGCTTCGTCCAGCACAGCCGTCCTCTCTCCCCATAAGGCTGCAACTGAGCAAAGTCCTTGCTTGGGAAAGTTAATTTGTATGTCCTTTATTTTGCAATAGATGGAAGGAAATAGAGAGACAGATCATTTGCAAATGTGAAAGGGTCCAAGAGACCAAGGACAAGGGGAGGAGGCAGGAGAAGGGTAAATAAAAAATATTTAAGAAATGTCTTGTACATGGGCTGAATACTCACAATGAATGGCAACATTGTATGTCATAAACACAAACTAAGAATAAAAATAAGAATAAGAATAAGAACAAAAAGGGAATTTAGCAATGGAGAGAAAAGGAGTGAGAAGGAGAAGGAGATTTTAAAAGAATCAAGAAGAAAAAAATAATAATAAAAAAATAAAAAATAAAAAGAATCAAGATGTGATATGTACATTTAGCTACTCTCTAAGGTGAATGAAAATTCATGTAGTAATAAAATAATTTTTAAAAGAATTCCATCTGTTAGTTACAAAATAAGAAAATTCTATTCAATCAGTTTGAAATTAGCTGACCCAGGCAAGATGGTTAACATTGGTCTCAAAATCAGGATGTAATGAAGCTGCCTGTATTGGTCAGGGTTTTACTTAGAGGAACAGATATAATATAAGGAACAGATACTAACACAAGATATACAATGTATAAGCAATTACAAGATTGGCTTAGGACAGGCAGCCACAGAATCAGATGAGGGAGGGGGCAGAGTGTGTCTGCACACCACAGACTGAAAAATTCAGTCCCAAGGTCTGAGGCTTACTGCTGTGCTCCATGCAAGTCTCTATTCGTCAGTTAATGGGTCTGTGACGGAAGACTGAAGAGTCTGTGACGAACGCTGAAGAATCTGCGACAAAAGGGGAAGGATCCAAGTGGAGGCCAAAGAGTCTGCACTGCAAGCCAGGCCATGAAGTCAAAGCCGAAAGCGAAGACTGAAGTTCCTCGAACAAAGTAGAACATCAACTCCTTCCTCAGCGCCTTTATATGGTCTCTTTGTGCTGAGTGAAGAACCAACTGTGCCCCAGGGCAGGACCCCTTACCAGCCGGAGTAAGCCGCAGAGTCATCCAGCCAAGTTGACACGATGTATCAACCACTACATTGCCATAGTTAAATTAAAAGGAAGGTAGACTAAATTCAAAGAAAATATGAATTACAGAATTTTCTAAGAGTAGGGTCAGGGATGTAGCTCAGCAGCACAGCACTGCCTGGCAAGTGCAAGGTCTTGAGTTCAATTCCTGGTACACACACACACACACACACACACACACACACACACACACAAAGAATTTTCTTGGAGATGTGGCTTCATGACTTTCAAGAACATAATCAGAAACAAGCTCACACAGGGAAACCTTAAGAATAACTGTCTAATGAATTTGATATTGACTGCTTTTAGGCACTGTGCACACCCAGAAGCCCTGCCCCCTGGGCCACTGCACTTTCTCAGGTATACTCATGGCCAAAGACATTAGAGTTTGCATATCTCAGTGACCCTTTTTTGTGCTATTACACAATCACTTCCATAAAACTTAACTCTTCCTAGGTGACTAAACATGGTGTATTGTTCTACACCATTTTGTGCATTGTCCAAGTCATCTGATGTTTCACCAATTATACCATTTATTTATGGCATTTAGGTAGATGGAGTGAAAAGGGGAAATAGGCAGGAAGAGAAAATGCATAGATTTTCCTACATTATTTCTTTTTTTCTTTTTTTAGTTTAGTGCAGGGTCTATAGGGTCTCACTACACAGATTAGACTTGTAGCCATTCTCCTGTTTCAGCTTCCCAAACCCTGGGATTACAAGCGTGCACCACCACGCCCAGTTTCAACTGCCATCTCAGCGTGCCCTGGGAATAGGGACAGCACAGCAGGCTGGGGATCAAACCCCTGACCCCTTCAACTGCCTAAACAGAACCTTTGATCGGCTGAGTTATCTGGCTGGCCTTTCAGACATTATTTCATTTGGATCAAATAATCAGCTCTCCAAGAGACCTATCACTAGAAGCAAGAAACCCAGAGATGCCTCATACCCATGTCTAAACTTCCCTGCACTGTCATCAAAAGAGTACCCCTGGAATCTGGTACACACACACACACACACACACACACACACACACACACACACACACACAAAGAGTGAGAAGGGAAAAAAGACAAAAAGCCTGAGAAAGAAACATGTTACTTTAATTGAATTTAGAAGGCGCTTCAGGTGCCCACACCTATCCCACTCTAGAATGTATATACTCAGAGCAAGACAGACACAAAGCCAGGAAGAGACCAAAGGACCTTGACCATAAAGGCTGTGGCAGAAGTTTGCATGGAGATATTTATGGGGCTTTACTCAATTATACATTTCTGCCACTCCATCACTCAGTCTACAACACTGTGTCTTCTTTGTGCCAAGTGCTCTGCTAGGTGCTCTGAGCAGATGAGGAAAAAGTCATGGCCCCTGCTGCAGAACATGTGCATTGTTGACAATAGTCTATTATGAGAAGCTCGGATGGCAACACATCTAGACAGCCTTGAGTGGGAACCTACTGGAAAAGGCTCAAGAAAAGTGTGGTAGACCAGATGATCATCAAGTTGGGTCCTGAGAAACAAGAAGTTAGTGAGATGAAGAGGCAGGAAGAAGACCTTCTAGAGGAGGGCATGCACAAAAACTAAGGTCTACTCTCAGTCTAAACTACTGCAATTTCCAGAACAGAGAAGTTCAACCCTGACTTCACTGGCTCCGCGGGCCATTCTCGTGGCACAGTTCTCAGGAGGGGAGGGGCACACCCAATCAAGCTGGGCTGGGTGGCACACTAGACGCACAGCAACTCCCGCTCCTCCCACCTGGGCCAGAAGCTGCTTCTCCACTTTTTCGACCCACTGCCTTGCACATAGGAAATGCTTATTAAGAACTTCTTGTCACAATGAACTTTTTATATACATTATTTAGATGATGTCATAGCAGCCTTGTGATGTACTGAGATTAACATTTCTCTTTGACAGGTGAATTAACCAAGATGCAGAGGATTTAAGGAATAGAGCCAAAATCAAAATCACACCAAGCTAGTAAATTGTTTTGGTGCCAAAAACTTAGACACAGATCTAAGAGTAGAACAAAGATGGTGGTGATGATATGGAGGAGAGAAAGGGAGAGGAAGAAAAAAAAAAAAAAAGAGTACCAAGAAAATTAGGAGGATGAGGAGGAAGAGGAAAAAAAAAAGAGAGAGAGAGAATAGAGACTTGGGGGTGCCCTCAAAGAATTTCCAATGGTTTTTAATCTTTTTTCCTCAGGTACAGACTGGATTTGGAAGGTTGGGCTCTCACTTCTGGGGCTTCCAATCCCATGAAGTTCTACCTGACATTGTCACCATGGCTAAAGGGATTGGTAATGGCTTTCCTATGGCAGCAGTTGTGACCACTCAAGGTAGGACCTAGGATAGTTCATGCCCGCCTCTGGGCCTCCTCTGTTGGGACTGATGTAGAGCTCATGGACTGAAATTTGCAGGGTTGAGGTGGTGGTGGGAACTACATGATGCGCTTCCTATGCAAATGAGGAAGAGACCGTCTTTTTGTCAGACTCTGGGGTGGATGGAGAACGCCGGCCTTTTCTGTAGCCCTTTGCTACAAAGAAAATTAATCCTTCAGTTTCCCAGTTAAATTTAGAGTTCCACTACACTGACAAGTGATAGGAAAATATACCACAAAACCTACCATAAAGCTTGCCCCAAAATCATGTTCTTGAAAGAAACACATGGTTGCTTAGTCTTAGCACAGCCATGACCAGTAGGCTCAATACTCATATTCGTATCTCATCAATGAAACAGCCAAGCATATTACATCCTGCTTATGCAAAACATTCTATGAAATGACACTAGATCTGTATTTTCCATTTTAGCGAGGTTTTTCATGGTATTATATTTTCAGAACTTTGATTGTTAAAAATCTTTAAATTATTGTATTTGGATTTCCTACCAGTAGAAGGCATGTATCTGAGCAACTAAATAATTAAGTGACTTGTGATGGCTTAGTGTTCTTCTTGAATGTGAAAGGTACAAAAATATAAGATACATGGAAAGTGAAATGCAATAAACAATATAAATAGTCCTGAAACACAATACAATAAACTTAATACAAATAATCCTGATAGGATTATGTAGTTAGATGCTTAACATGAGATTGTTTTCTTTATACTTCCTTCTTAGTCTTAGGGGTAGGATTCAGAAGAAAAGGTATTTAAAAAAAAAAAAAGCCCATGATGGTGCACACCTGTAATCCCAGCACTCCAGAACCTGAGGCAGGAAGACAGCCATGAGTTCAAGGCCAGACTGGACTACATAGAGAGTTTAGGGCCAACCTGAACTATAAAGGAAGATTTTGTCTTAAAACAACCCAAAACGGCTGACAAGATAGCTCAGCAGACTAAAGCGCCTGCTTCAGCCAACTTAGGCAAACATGGGGACCGTGGTCCTATCCCTCGCACCACATGCTATGCCAGCCCCACCCCCAGGGTGGGGTGAGCTGGCCACCAAAAGGAAAAAGCACTGGCTAACTGAAGATTCTGTGCAAATTCCTGTACATCAAGCTGTATGGTGCTTTCTAATTCACAAAACACGTTAAGTTTTTGTGATCAAACTTCCTATTAAGTCAATAAACTTCTTTTCTTTACCCATTATATTAGCTCAGAGTGGCAGAACAAGATACAGTACCACAGACTAGGGAGTTTACACAGCACGCACTTATGATCTCAGAATTTAAGGCTAGAAATCTCAGTTTTTTCCTTTTTAATGTGTCTGGTACAGGGTCTCACTACACAGTTCAGACTCATAGTGATCCTCCTGTTTTCAGCATACCATGCCAGGGATCAAACCCTGGTCCCTGCACTTGCCTAAGAAGGTGCTTAGTCTGCTGAGCTATCCAGCTGGCCCTACAGCTAGAAATCTGAGATCAAACACCAGCACGTCAGGGTTCTGGTGAGTCCTCCTGATTGCACACAGCCTCCTTCTCCTTAGGCCCTCAGTGGCCTTCTCCTTGAGAGGTAGAGAGCGCTCTGGTGTCTCATTAACAGAAGGACATCAGTCTTATTCGAGAAAAGCTCCTCCCTTATAATCGCATAACATTAATTAATTCTCTAAAGGCATGATCTCCAAATGTAGTCACAATTAGTGTCAGGCTTCAACAGAGAAATTTTGAGCAGCTAGAGCTCAGCCCCTAACAACCACTATCAGGTGAGTGAAGATGGGTCTGGTATGATGCCTTTTGTGACGTGAAAGTGTATGAAATCCCAGTGGTGTGGTGGAGGTGCTGGGCGGGATGTGTCACTCTACCCACATTTTATTTTCCCCTAGAAATTGCCAAGTCACTGGCTAAATGTTTGCTTCATTTCAACACCTTTGGAGGGAACCCCATGGCCTGTGCCATCGGCTCTGCTGTGCTTGAGGTGCGTCACGCATCACGGGTTTCACAAAACTCCTCTTCCAAAGCTGCACACATTGCCATAACTCTATCATTGTTAGAGTGGACAGTTAGGGCCAGCCAGATAGCTTAGGCAGAGCCAGCCCCACCCTAGAGCTTGGTGAGACTGTGATTGAGACTGGGAGTGGTGGTGCACACCTATAATCCCAGGGTTTGGGAGGCTGAAAACAGGATGATAACTATGAGTCCTATCTATGTAGTGAGACCCTGTACTAAATACATAAAAATTTTAAAAATACATGAATAAAAAATAAAGTCGAGAGTTAATAAATGATGCATCAGCTTAAGTTAGGCTTGTAGTGAGTATTATCTGCCCCTTTTTAAAGATCTACTTTGGGTACTTGAAACATAGCATAAGAAAAAACATGTGTGGGCCAGGAGGTGTCTCAGTAGAATAAGCACCTGCCTGGCCAGTGCAAGGTCCTGAGTTCAATCTCTGGTACTGAAAAAAGAAAAAAAAAAAAGAGAGAAAGAAAGGAATAGCACATGATCTATATATATAATTACTCTCCTATACGTGGGAAACCTGAGGATTCCCCTAGCCAGGTGATACCATGGAAAACATTTTGATCTGAGTAGCATTTTATGAATAATTAGTAACTCCCTTCTATCTTTCTAGTTTAATTTTGACCCTGTGTTGTGTGGGTGTTTTCCTTTCTTTTGTTGTGATGTAATCAGTTAAAAGACAAAGACTAAGTTATATGATTACAATGAAGTAATTCAGCTTTATGAACAATTGTGCAGCCCTATTTCATTGTTTAAGCCTGGTGACAGCCAGTTTTTCTGTTCAAAATGTCTATTTTTTAATTGTCCTTAATAAAGTATCATTGGCTTAACTATGATATTTTCTGGAAGAGTGTCCAAAAGAGTAATAACAGTAGCTACTTGTAGCAGGGGAAACTTGTTTGGAGTCAAGGATCAGTAAGAGTTGACCTACTGGCTGCGGTTTATGCTTCCTGATTTTGAGCCATGAACATAATTTACCTAGTTCAAAAATAATTAAATTTTAAACTATTCAATTTTAATCAAATGATTGAAAAAAAAAGATCTGTCCTCTTTGAATTTCATACTTAGCAAATATACCTTTGAAAACTAACAATAAAATATTTTCCAGTTATACAAACTCAAAATATTCTAATACCTCCAGATGTAGCATATAGGAAATAAGAAAGAGCATAATCCAGAAGGCAAGAGAAGTAGCTGGATGGTCTTGGATAAAGAATAAAGAGTTCTCAAAATGGTAGTTTTGCAGGACTATGTAAAATATATTAGATGAATCCATTTAAAAGGTCATTAAAGATTTCTATGAAACAAAATAAACTATTTTAAATAAAAATAATTGAGATTGCCTTTTTTAATTAAACCCATATCTTCAAATATGACTACATTCTGAGATGAGATAATAAGGGAAGAATACGTCATTTCATTTTGTAGACAGTGCCAACTCTGCTGTTGTTAATTATTATGTCAGCTGCATCAATTTAGAGAGTAAAAAGGGTTTAAGTAAACCAATAGGTCTTAAAAACATTCAGATCGACCTGGGGAACCATGTAATTACTATTACCTAATAGAAATGTAGCGGATTTTGAAGGTCTTTTCAAGAGTCAGAGGCATATTCTGTGAATGGAACTTAAGTGAAAATCCTTTTATATCTTCAGGTGCCCTGCCTCTCTCTAGGCACTGAAGGAGCTCAGCTTGGCTAAGGCCAGGCTCCCAGCTAAGATGCTGGGAGCAAGATGAGAGCCTGTGCCCAGAAGATGGCTGCTGAACAGGGTCACCACCCTCCAGGAAGGAAATTTTCTTCCCTCAGGGTCTTTGTCATTTTTAGCTGCTTGTCTTTGGTCTCAGCAAAGCCCAGAAATAATAAACTCATAGTGCTATTGACTCTGCTTAGACACATCTTATATTTTTCCTAAATCTCATCTGTGAAAGGAAGAGGTATCTGCAGGAAACATCCTTTCTTCCAAGATATTTTTACATTTTACAGAAAATCTTTTTTTCTAACCCATGGTGTATGCACACCAGATCTTATTCCAGTTTTCTGTTTGTCTTAGTTATGGCTGAGACAAAATACACAACACACAAAATTAAGGAAGGAAAGGTTTATTTAGCTCAGTTTGTGGAGCTTTCAGTCTGTAATCAGCTGGCTCCACGGCACAGTGACATGGCACAGGGGCAGTATTTGAAGGCAGCAGAAGATGACAAAAGCAGCAAGAGCAAAAAAAAGGAAACAGCAAGCCTCTTTTTCTCCTTTATGTTGTAAGCAGGATACCACCCCTGGGGCAGATGTAGCACTCGTACCATCTCCATGCCCTCCTCCTGCAAAGGATGAGAATATTTACAAAATGAGGACTCTGGGTCCCTGGTGAGTCCCTTAGTTAAACTTCTGCACTTCTCAAGGTGACACAACATATCAACCATTAAGCTGGTTTAATTATCATAAACACAATGGAAGTAGGACATAGTGGCATATGCCTATAAACTCCAGTACTTTGGGAGGCAGAAGGATCACAAGATTTTGCCAGGCCTAGGCAACTGAGATAGACATTGTCTCAGGACTGGGCATGTAGCTCATGGTATCAATTTCATGTGCTGCGAAATGAAAAACAAATCATGGACCTATATCTCTGTTTCTCAGCAAGTCTTACAGCTTTTGCCATGTAAAGTCATTGGGGTTTTCTCTCAACAGGTGATTAAAGAAGAAAAAACACAGGAAAACAGTCAAGAAGTTGGCACCTACATACTACTGAAGCTTGCTAAGCTGAGGGATGAGTTTGACATTGTTGGAGATGTACGCGGCAAAGGCCTCATGATAGGGATCGAAATGGTGCAGGATAAGGTAGGTCCTGATCCAGGGCTTCTTGGAGACTGCTCAGAGCCAGAAGGGCTTAGTATGGAAAGCATCATCTCAAAGCACTTCATTCTGGGCTGGGGAGACGGCTCAGTAGAATAAGCGCTTGCCTGGCAAGCGCAAGGGTCTGAGTTAAATCCCCAGTTCCGAAAAAAAAAAAAAAAGCACTTCATTCATTTTCAGTGAGGAAGTATCAGCAGACAGCAAGACCCAGGAAAACTCTTGTGAGATTAGTACTGAGGAAGTATTGGGTGCAAAGAAAATGTTAGCAGTTCATGGGGAATTGAGAGGTGGGGAGAACTAGAACTTGGAAAGTTCTTACCAGATGAGGTAAAAAATATGGGCAATGAATTAATATTTGGAAATATGTACAAGGCAAGAAATTATTTGAGAAAGGGTAGGTGGCCTGGAGAGCTAGTGGAAATAAAGAAAAAGACCCAGGACAAAGTCATAGAAAGTTTGGGTTAAGAATGTTAAAAATGATTGGGTTTTGTATTTATTTGACTGACTGACTGATTGGTTGGTTGATTGATTTTAAATGGCCTTCAATCTCCTGAGTAACCAGGCAAGAATGTACTCTGCTGAGATCTTGAACTCAACATGACAGCAATGAATTTAGCACGGTTCCTCCCAAGATCAAGGATTCCATTTCTCACCTCTGCCATTCTCCTCACCCTCAATCTCAGTACTACAAAATAATCTGTGACTCCTAGGGGTGCCTTCCTTGCCTCATCACCCAAATCCTTCTGCGGTTTGTCTCTTTCTGTTGCTGCTGACCCTAAAGTCCATGCCAGTAGGAAATCAATCCTTGCCACCAGGAAATGGAAATGTAGTCTGAGGAGAGAAAAGAAGGGAAATCTTGGCATGGAGAAGAGTCCCCAGGCAACCTCACATCCCTAATTTCTGTTTACAGGAAGCAGACTTCTCTTGGCCGATTCCTTGCTAGGTATTTGATGTTGCCATCCTATTGTAGAAGGATTAGTGCTCAATTGTTTCAATATTCAGGCCAGACTATGGATATAAAATTCTTCCATTAACTCCATATGGCAATGCCAGTAAAAAGATGGCTGATTTAAGTAAGATTTGAAAGCTAAGGGAAGACAACAGGAAAACAAAGAATACATGAGATGAATCCCATAGCTCACGAGTCACCCCATACAGATCTTCAGCTGTGGTCCAGCACAAGGTTGTAGTAAAAGTCCCTTCTAGTCCCCACCCCAGGAGCTCTCTAACAGACATCTATAGTGCTCAAAGTCAAGAATTGAGAGAATAAAATCTAGTGGGAAAAGAGGGCTGGGGCTATTCCAAACACAATTTCTACATGGTCCAAGTCATAGAAAGATGTTCATCAGAATTTTGTCACAGCAAAACATTAGAATATTCCCAAAAGGCACTATTATAGAAAAAATTAAATTATAGTACATACCTACTACCATGGATTAGATATAGAGAGATGTTCAAACAATACCGTAGGGCTGGGGAGATAGCTCAAGGGCATAAGCTCCTGCCTGGCAATCCTTAGGTCCCAAGTTCAATCCCCAGTACCACAAAAAAAAAAAAAAAAACCCAAAGTATGAATATTTTAAAAAAAAAAAAAAAAAAAACTGTAGAAAACTAAAACAAGTTATAAAGCAGTATCTGTAGAATGAGCTCTTTTTCTCTTCATTTTGTTATATACTCTAAAGCATGGGCCCCAATTTCAATTCCACCTTTTCCAGTCTCCAGTTCTACTCTCTATCCTCTTGGTACCATTCATTCTCTTGAGCTCAAGGGTCGACTTGTCCTCCAATGTGGAATGCAATGCCCTCCTTGCTGTGCCTCTGCACCCAGGCCCAGTTCCACATCACACTTCTCCCTAAACACTTGCCTTTGCCATCCTTCATGAGGGGCTCTGCCCTGCCCTTCAGAGAATTCCTGGTGTAATCACTGTCTAAAGAGCTCTTTTAGGAAGATCTTTTCCACTCTTTTAGTTCTGACTGCTATAACCATGATCTCTAGCAGAAAAGTATAAAAACGAAGTATAAGAAGTAAAGCCATGCTGTTATGTTGAGCTGTAGGGGACTCAGGTCAACAGCTTCTGACATTGCCAGTCAAGCAGAAGACCCAATACTATTATGGACTACTGGACTGTTTTGGAATAGTTTGCTGAGTTCACACATCTATAATATTTAAATGACGGAACCAAACAAAAAAGGGAATGCAGATGAATGACCATTTTGTATCTGGGTATTCAAAATGGTTAGGATAAATATATAGCTACACTCTCTTAATGAATAGAGGGATTTGTTCTAATAGTGTTTGTAAATAGGATATCATGTCTTCGTCTTGTACAGCAATTAACCACTAGGAAAAGAGTATGCAATGTGTTAATTATTGAAACTGTCCTACCAATTTGATTTGAAACTGTCTCATTGCTATTTATTTCTCAATAAAATTATGGAGGAAAAAAAAAAAAAGAAACATATGTGTCACAATTCTAGAAGCCGAAAAGTTCAAGATCAAGATGCCCATAGGTCAGTGTCTGTTGAGGGCCCACTTCCTGGTTCCTAGAGAGCCAGTTTGCTGCTGTCATCTTATGAGGCAGGTAGGAGCTCCCTGGGCCTTTTGTAAGGGAACTAATTCCACTCATGAGGCTTCCATCCTCATGGCCTAAACTGAGAGGGATGTGGTAGGTCGGGGGCATGGGAGGGTAGAAGCATTCAGTCTATGGCATCTACCATGTATTTATTGTTTCAGTTTTTTTAATGTGTAAATACCTGATTTTTCTAAATAATTTGCATCCTCTTGAGGTCAGAAAGCAAACAGTGCTTTGTTTTGTGCACTGGTTTCAAGTCCCTGCAGCACTTCAGGCCATGTTCATGTAATTACAGCATCCCAGAGCTTTGCTATGGTGCTGTCTGGAGTAACCCAAGGAAACGTTCCCGTATGCTATACATTAGAATGTAATTTGGTGCAAGCCTTTTCATGGCAACTTGTCTATGTCCATCAAAATTGGAAATGTCTATGCATTTTGACCTTGCAGCTCCCCTGCTAGAAATGTGTCCTTAAAAATACTCAAAAACACATATAAAGATAGATAGGAATAGGGCGCCAGCCAGATAGCTCAGCCGATTAAAGCACCTGCTTAGGCAGAGCTCGGGGGCCAGCGTCTGATCCCTGGCACCACAAGCCATGCCAGCCCTGCCCCCAGGGCACAATGAGAGAGCAATTGAGACTGGGCATGCTGGTGAGTGCCTGTAATCCCAGCGTTTGGGAGGCTGAAAACAGGAGGATTACTACAAATCCAATCTGTGTAGTGAGACCCAGTAGAACCTGCACTAAATACATTATGAAAAAACAAAACAGCAACAACAATAAAAAGATATATAGGAATAGGAATGTTGGTAGCATTATTTATAGTCATGAAAAATTAGAGATAAATCTAAATGTTTACTAATAGGAGATGGAAAAATTACTGGCAAATAATAAAATACTAAGCAATCTTTAAGGAGACTACATAGAGAAATATACTCACATGGAAAGATATCCAAGATATAGCACAATGAACCCCTGAAAGTCATGAGGATTATGTTCCTAGAGCACCCATGAATTGTGAAAAACTAAAAATTTCAGATATGGTTGGAAAACGGATTATAATGCCCATTTTCATGGTTTCATCCCTACTCATGCTATGTCTCCCACAGTTATGTAATTTAATTTAATAAAATACTGTATTAATAAAGCCTTGGGAGGTGCCAGGCATTTTTGGCGACATGCTAGGGTTCTTAGGGCTTTACGGAGAACAAGGGCCGGCCAAATAGCTCAGCAGATTAAAGTGCCTGCAAGCAGGTTCAGGGGCCTGCCATACCACCCCCACCCCTGGGAGCATGTTGAGATGGCAATTGAGACTGGGCATGGTGGCGCACGCCTGTAATCCCAGCTTTTGGGAGATTGTAAACATGAGGATCACTATGAGTCCGATCTAATAGTGAGACCCTGAACAACCTGTAGACCCTTCCCTAAAATACAAAAAAAAAAAAAAAAAAAAAAAAAAAACGAGAACAGTCACAATAGCTATGCACAGTACAGCCCAGCAACCTGTTTTGATGCAGAAGCACTCATGCATCTGCGAAGATGGGTTGCGGGGCAGCAGCCAATCAACAGCAAGAAGAACTGAAGAGCGCTCTCGAATTGGCTATTTGCAAAAACCCGCCAAAAGAGCAATTGTGGAGGATATTTGAGGTTTCTGTGAAATTGCAGGAGTGTCCTAGAACAATTATTAAATAAGTTCTAAGGAAAGTTCAAAAGCAACTGATCTCACAAACTCCAAACTGCAATAGCAAGCAGAAACACTGAAATGACTCCCCGAATGTGGAGGCATTTATTTACATAGATGGGTACTGATCAGGGTCATCCACAAACTATAAAGCCCTGAACTCTGGTGGTGTAGGGCTTATATAGGATAAGCAAGCAGGAAGCACAGTGGCAGAGTGGCTTGCCAGGTGTGGATTGGTTTATACAATGTGCATCACAGCGGCCAGCTCTTTCTAAGAGGCAGAAGTAACTAGAATTGGAACAGGAGCTATTACCTGGGCAAACAAGGAGCTGGGGTATGCTGGCAGGGAGGATGGGCATTTTCTGCTGCAGAATTACGATTTCACAAGAGTATGGTGTATAAATCATCACATAAGAAAGCTGCAGAATATTAAACATCATAAAATAGGTGGTAATAGTTTTTATGCCTATATAAAAAGTGTCTTCAGGCACAGAAAAGTGCTCAGCTTATACTAAATTATCAATAGCAAGTGTCCCCAGGCATAAAATGGGGGGAGAGAAATTTTTCATTTTTATTTTATGAGCTTGCACACATTTTACTTTTTCAATAGTCATAAATTATATTAAAATTGTTTAAATACAAAGTCAGCAAAAAATCCAAAAAAGATTACCATGAAACTACAATATATGCCCAACAAGAAGTTTAATTACTAATATGTCCACTTCATCACCAAGCCGTTGCAATACAGGCATGAACATGGGCCCTGAGCAGGCTGCCCTGTGGCTTTGCTTCATTGCAGTTTCCAGTCTTTGGGGGATGCAGACAAAATGCTCCATGCTCATAGCATTTGAAGTGGGGTGGAGGGATAAAATGGGCAAGCAAACATGGAAGAAACCAAACCAATGCTGGGACGAGACCAGATTCCACCTGTTTGGATCTGTAAACCTCGGGGAGGCTCCTACCAACTCATCTTCCCCTCGGGAAACTCTTCCAGGGGCACTCTCCCCCAGCTCTTCCACTCCCTCCAATCATTTTTAACTTTTTTCTAGTTCACACTAGAGAAAAGTAGGATTACATTAAGTGTAACCTTACATTATTTTAGTCTTCTTCCTCTAGTAAAGAAGAACTTTTGGAGCAAGGAGGATTCATAATGGAATTCTGAGGTTGATGAGAGGATCCACATCTTATCCTCCATCCCAACCCCAGGTCTTCCTTTATTTCATGGTCTGAAAGTTGGAATATTTCTTTTCTTATCATAAATTTTAAGATATGGAGAAAAATGCAAACATCTCTAGGAAGCCCAGTCATATTGTGCTGTGTCAGACACCAATACCTTACAAAGAATGGAGGATTCAGGAGAGAATTGAAAGGCTGACTAGGAAGAGGGGAATGGACACCAGAGCCCAGAGGGAAAGTGTGTAGGAGGCCCAGAGAGAGGTCAGGAAGCTCGGGGCACTGAGAACTGTGCAGAGGCTAAGCCACGGCAAGGATCATGCCTGAAGCTTCTGCAACCAGAGAACCAGGCCAGGGCTGAAGCTCCCCGAATGGCCCTCGGAAGGAAGAGAGGAAACAGGGACAGCAACAGCATTGCAGAAGGCAGACTGGAGTTGCTGAGGATAATTTTTAAAATGTAGGTCCTAAGGGCTGTTCCAAATGCTTTAATTTGGCTAACATGAGGCCCAAATACTTATACTGTGAAAGGCTTCCAGGCAATGTAGGGACACTCAGGCTTAAAACAACTAAATTAGTGGAAGATGTGTGTGTTCATAGTCTGAAATGTCAGGGTGCTGTTCAATGTCCCCAGTAGGCATTGGCATGCCTGGGCCCTCAGTTGGAGGAGCTATGTCAGATGCCTAGGGTTCTGACAGAGTCTCTTGCCTCCTGACCCTGTAGGATGAACTTTTGGGAGAGACAGAGCCAATTTCACAAGCAGTGAAGATGAGGCCTTGTTCCAGCGGTGCTCCAGGAAACCCCTGGGCTGCTTGTGCAAATACTGAGCTAGTCCCTGAGCTGTGAAGTGGGCTCTTTACATGGTCAGAACACCATGAAGGGTTGAGGAGAATGTCCACATAAATACAACAGACTCCAAATTCATCCAGTGAGGACCAAACTCCCAAGGCAGCCATTAACAAAGCCAAGGGTCCCTGACTGTCTGCGTGCAACTACATTTCTTCTTCAGAGGCTTGGGAGGAAGTGGAATCAAAACAATATATTTAAGAATATCATCCAAAAACTCATCCAGCAATCCACAGCTTTATTTAATTTCCAGGACATGGATGGTTTGAATTTTGGTTTGGAGGGATTTTTCTCTCCTTGTTGGGAAATAACTCTTCTAACCACTCAGATGCCAAGTAGAAAAATATTTTAAATGCTTTCACAGATATAAGCACGTAAAATTGGTCCCCAAAAAGTTATAAGAAATTAAAAAGGAGAAGAAAATTAATTAAGCATTATCTGCTCCTTTCAATAGACCAGCAGAAATCAACGGTACAATCATCCAAGGTATCCTATGTATATACATAAATATATCTTTTTCCCTTCTTTCTTTCTTTTGTACTTTTCCTTTAAAAAATTAAAAAAAAAAAAAATACATAGATGAGCCGCCGACCTCTTCCTCAAGAAGAAGTAAATCAAATCCACGAGGACTGCAAAGACATGGGCCTCCTGTTGGGCAGAGGTGGCATTTTTTCTCAGGTAAGAGACAGAAGCGGTAGATTAACCTAGCACTTTAAATTGGCGCGTTGGATGCTCCAGTACCTGTGATTTGCTTCGCTGATGGCTCTAGGACACTTCGCCTACTTCCAGGGAAACTGCTTATCTTTTTTTAAAAGCAGTGAATCCTTCTGAACACTAGGGGGAGCTTTGGTAAAATGATTTGATTAGCTCAGCTCGGTAGAGGAAGGAGTCGTGTATAGGATGTACAGATAAACCAAACGATTTATGTACAGTACGGTTGACTAAACAAATCATAAAAGTCATGCAATAACAAATTCGTCTCGTGTACGAATGAATTTCATCCTGTGAAAGCCCTGTGAGGCAAGCTTAGCCATTCTTAACTCTGCCCTGACTCCGACTTTGTGAACCTGCTCAACCTCAGTCACTGTAGTGGTGGGAAGCAGCCCAACAGTCCTGGGGACCCAGCCGGCCCTTGCAGAGGGGTGGGGGTCATCCTGGGCGTGCCCTCAAGTCCGCCACGTTTGCTGCCCTTGGCCCTCCGAAGATTCAGACAGGGATCTCGCCTTTTCTCCCTGAGAAAAGCCATCTCACGCTCCACAGCCTGGACCTTGAACTCGCCCCACAAGAGGGGATGGAGGCTGCTGCTCTGAGGAATGGGCCCCGCTCTTCAGTCATTGAAGCCTACTGCGCCTCCACGAGGACAGGCTCCAGGGCGAAGGGGGCGGAGTAAGGGTGCCTTGTGCTTTCTCCCAAGTGCTTCTTGCCCATGATCATCTTGCTTGACCACTTTTTAACTTAAAAAGAAAAGTTAGGAAGTGGTAATTTTATGCGCTTATGGGGTAGCATGTGACATTTACCGATATCTGTTATACTGTAATGTCCAAATTAAGGGAAGCACATCTATCCCATTTAGCATTTCTTTGTGGTGAGAGCATTCAAACTCTTCTACTTTCTTGAAATTCTCAGTGCATTGTTATTATCTGTACTCACCTACTGTGTAGTAGAACAACAGAACTCCTAACCGTAATTTAAGATTTCCACCAACTCAAACATTCATCTTGCCAGTTTATTTTTCTGCACACCTGCCTCTCATGATTCCCATGGACACTGAAACATCCAGTTCTTGCTTCTTACTTCTCAGAGAAAATTGAACCAATCAGGCAATAAACTCTACAAATATTTTTGAACAAACCAAATCACATAATTATTAAAACTAAGACATATGAGTCATAAAGACAGAAGACAGTTGTTCACTTGCTTGGCTCTTGTGAGTTGGCAAACACTAATTGTAAGTGCTAAGCAGCAGATGATATGCTGGGAGCTGAAACTACTATGATAAAGAAAATCTGGCCCCTCTACAGAGTTGACAAAAAAGAAAAAATAATAAATGGGAAATTCCAATACAGTGTAAGTTCAATTAGAAGTCTAAAAAGAGGTGTTATGGGGGAGAGAGAACAGATGTCCAGGCCATCCCTTCTGGCTAGCAGAGTCTTACACAATCATACAGAGTTGAAGTACATGTAGAAACCTGGCAGAGTGCGATGGCAGGCCACAGGCTAGAGCGGCCAGAGCAGAAGGCTTGTGGCAGGGCATGGGCACAGTCCGAAGCCCTTTCTCCGTGCCAAGCACTATCCTCAGCACTCTGCATGTACACACTTATTCATTTAATGCCCTCAACAAGCCTAGAAATGAAGTACTACCATTGTCCTTATTTTATAAAATGAATAGACACAGAAAGGTTAAGCAGATTGGCCAAGTTACATAGCTAGTAAGTGGCAAATCGAGAATGAAACCCAGGCAGTCCGATTTCTGAATCTGTCCTCTGGAAAGGACGAACCTGAAGGAACAAGCCTGAAGGCAGTGAGGCTGAGTGGGGGTGGGGAGAGGATGCTCTTCCAAACTGAGCAATTGTAATAAGGACAGGGGAGATGCTCCCAGGATAACTTGGCAGTAAAATGCGCAGGACTTGGATATAAAGAGTGAGAGAAACAGTCACGGGTGAATCCCTATGTCTGACTTGGTTTAGGGTAGACACAAATGAATTCATCTCTGAACATATTCCATTTGAGGGGCATGTGAATATCTGGTTCTGCATTTGTGTGCGGCTGAGGGGAAGGGGCTCAGGCGAAGCTTGTCATTGGGTTGGCATAAAGGTGGGAAGATGAGGGCATCTCAGGGGAAACTTAGTGATTGGCTGAGATGCACAGGGATGCAGAAACCTACAGAACCGTAACATTTAGTGTGGGAGGTGGGGTACAGGGGAAGCAGAAAAGGATGTGCATGTGAGGAGAGCCAGAAGAATGTGGAATTACAGAAGAGGGAGAATGGAGAGGTTTGGGAAGAAGGAAGGTCCAATGCCAAGAGCAGTGGAGAAGACCAGGAAGCTAAAGAGCTGAGTAACACACACCTTACAAGTCACGTTCACATAATGGTGTCAGAATGGTGCTCGAAAACTATACTGTGCTGTAGTGCTATGAACCATGGGACTACCGAAACTGTGCAACTGGGGGGCTGAGATGTCAGACAGGGAAGGATAGAGCGAAAGATAATAGCCAGCGTTTGAATAAGAGCAACATAGCAATTGCATGGCAGCCAGAAGGGGCAGGAGCTCTGCACAGATTCTCATTTGGTGTGGTTTGGGTTTGGATTGTGAGAATGTCAAGCCTGCTTGTTTGCAGGCGGAGGGGAGGTTGGGAAGCAGTTGAGTGCAGGAGAACACAATGGCATTACCTCAAGTGAATGCGGTGGGAGTATCCAGGGTCAGAGGCACGAGTGGACAATTCATAGCTGAATAGGAAAGAC